CATTTTATACATAACACTGTAAATGTTTCTTACATAACATTATACTTCTTTATAAGCTATCGCTCCATGTACATTTTTGATGTATGTGTATAGATATGAATATAAAGTTACAAAATACACTGAAAATAACTTTTAGTTAAGTTAAACTAATGAATCCTATTTAACTATTCATCATAAGTAAGATAAAAATATGTGAAATTTATGAATATTTGAATAAAAACATATATCTTACCTCATGTGAGATTCCCCTGTTATATGAGATTTTCGCTGTTGTCACTATAAAGAAAAATAGTTCATTAGTTATTGCTATCTTGGATACTTAATAAATACAATATATTGATATTTTGTGTAAGTGGCAAGTAGAACTAATACAATGTAAACAGATTCTTCAGTTTTATACCTAAAATTGTGAATGCTTCTGACATCACACTTTATTGAAAAATATACACTGAAAACTAATTTGAATAAAGGAATTATGTTTAAATATTCATCATAAGCAATATAACATGTATAAATATTATGCATAAAACAACATCTTCCTTTGGATGAGATTTCAAGTGCTCAGATCTGTGGACAACAAAAGAAACAAACTTGGATGATGATCAAAGGCTGCTATTCAGAAGAAACGAGCTTTTAGGAATGACTGGATTTTTCCAAGTGACTAAACAAATTGTCATTCCCTTAGGAGCCTTGCATATATGTGAAACTTAATATGTGAAAATAAATAGATACCATACAAAAAAAAGCAAATGAGGACTGGAGGGTGCTTGATAGAACAAATACTCTGTATATTGAGAATATAGTGAGAATATGCCTATGTTTTGAAGTACAATATAAATCTTGCCTGCGGACAGTTACAATAAGAAGAATGTGACTTAGACCAATTTTTTAATTGCTGTAAAGTCACTTTCTTTGTAATTTATGGCATCTGTTTCCTTTGGAAAACTCTTACAGGTACAGATGTAGCCAGGGGTTGACAAGGGCGAAGTTAAACAAACTTCTTGTACTGTAACTTTGCTATACATTCACTGGTAGTGGTAGTTAAAGTTGTACTTTGTGTTGTGAAGCCACATACAAGAACATTTACTAAAATAAATTTGTTTAAAAGATCAAACAAATTGTATTCAAGAACCATACACACAATAGCATACGTGTACTTTCTTACTATCATTTTTTTTCTGTAGTGATATTCAAATGTGTCTGCGTTAGAGGCAGAGAGAAGAAAGGGCTGGAGTGAGAGTAAGATATTACAGCAATAGGATGCTATTCGTGCTGTTGATGTGACGGTTTTATCAGCACAATAGACAAAATTATGGGTCCAATGAAACATGAACTTGAAATTAAGATATATACATTTATGAAACATGATTAAAATGTCACACACACACACACACACACACACACACACACACACATATATATATATATATATATAATGTAGAATACTATTAAGTAAATAAAAGTACTATACTTGTCTTATTGTTTGGGTTTAGTTGTACCTAATTATTATTGGTTCTTGTGTATTACTTAGAAAACTTAAGGACGGTATGTGATTTAAAAAAAATTAAAAATAGACAAAACCTACATTTTGTGGAATGATAAAATATTTTTAGAATCTGGAACAATTATAAGTATTTTATTTATTTCTTATAAAAACCGTTTCATTAATGTAATTTCCCAAGATTTTAAACCCAGTAATGCATAAAAACTAATTACATCAAAATTGAGATACTTTATTTTTCTGAAACTACATGTCTTTACAAAAGTTCATGTCAAATTTCAAACAATTTCATTTACTAGTTTAATTTTGGAACTAAATATAACAATAGCGATATTAGGTACTGCACGTCACAGCACATGGTTGCAAAATGACTAAAGAGCATGCTGAAGAAAATGTGCCAGGAGAGATCATGTGACTGGGACCAGTACCTGCAGGAAGTATTATTTGCTCACTGAGAAATCCCACAAATGAGTACAGGATTTTCACCCTTCAAGTTACTGTATAGAAGAATAGTATGAGGTCTGATGCAGATACTGAAAGAACTGTGGACAGGAGAAGGAGAGTTTGGAAGTGAGGAACACATACCAGTATGTGTGAGACCTCAGAAACTGACTGGAGGAGACCTGTCAACTTGCTCGAGAGATCTTGTATGCAGCTCAAGGCAGTTAAAATAAACAAGAAGACCAAGGACTGACATTTCAAGGTCGGACAAAAGGTCTTAGTTCTGCTATCTACAGACACCCTGTAGTGGAAAGAATCTTTTGAAGTGCAAGAAATGGTCAGCAGAATGGACTATAAAGTGAAAGTGGATGGAAAAACAAAGATCTACAACACCAATCTGTTGAAGAGGTACTTTGAGAAGGAAGAAGACCTAACAGTTGCAGCTATTGAGGCACAGATATACATGGCAGGTGTAGCTATCACAGATGCAGAACCAGAAGACAGCGACTTTGTCATAGAAGATGAAGACCTACTGGACCTAAGACTGCAGGGTGGAGATGAGACGAACAAAGATGTCAACATCAGTGAAGAACTGACTGGTAAGCAGAAGAAAGAGCTAAAAGACCTACTGTGCAGATGTTTTCACAGATAGACCAGGCAGGACAAACCTTATGCAACACAAGATTGAGACCATGACCAGGAACTCAGTCAAGATGAAACCCTACCAGATGCCCTGTGTGATAAGAGACCTGATCAAGCAGGAAGTCGAGGCAGTGTTAGAAGCTGGAATCATTTAGCCTCTGAAGTCAGCCTACTGTTCACCAGTTATAATTCCGAAGAAGAGGGATGGCTCAAACTGCTTCTGCATAGATTACTGGAAGCTGAACTTCATGACAAAATTTGACTCTAAACTTATGTGCAACCCAGAGGCTATCATGGGAAAACTAGATGGGGCCAAATTCTTTTCCAAGATATACTGCAGTATAGATTATTGATGTATCCCAATGAAGACAGGATCTAAATAGAAAACAGCTTTTGTGATGCCAAACGTATGCTACCGGTTCATGAGGATGCCATTTGGATTAGTCAACTCAGCAGTGACATTCAACTGCATGATGAGAAAAACATTACACAAAACCATCAAAATCAAGCATTATGTGGATGACATTCTGACTTACACAGCTAGATGGGAAGACCACCTGAAGAAATGCGGAGAGTTGTTCAGGTGAGTAAGGGCAGCAGGTGTGACCACCAGACTATCTAAGTGCTACATTGACTATTCTGTGCTGGACCTTGTTGGACACAAGGTGGGAGACTGACAGATAACCATGGATGAGGAGAAGCTAACCCGCATACAAGATGCGCTAGTTCCGACAACGAAGCAGCAAGTCAGATCCTTCCTAGCAATTGTGGGTTACTATAGGAAGTTCATCCCAAAATATGCTGAAGTTGCTGCATTTCTGACTGACTTAACCAAGAAAGGCCAACCTAACAAGGTAAAGTGAGAACAACTACAGCAGCTAGCATTCCAGAAGTTGAAGAACATGTTAAGAAGTTTGCCATTGTTAAGGCCAATGCATCAAATGTTGTAATTGCAGCAGTACTTCGGCAAGAACATAAGATGTACTGTTTCCCATAATGTACATCAGTAAAAAGCTGTTGAAGAGTCAGAAGAACTACTTTGTGATTGAATGAGAGTGTCTGGACATCATATTTACTGTCTGGAAGTTCCAGAACTATCTCTTTGGGAAGGAATTCATCATCCAGAAGGACCATCAGTCCCTTGCGTACATACAGAGGTGCAAAATCAACAATGCAAAGATCATGAGGTGGGTGTTGTACCTCCAGAACTACCCATTCTGCATTGAGGCCATCAAGGAGACTGCAAATATTGGTGCAGATTGTATGAGTAGACCTTGTACATGAACTGAAAATAGTCTTTGTATATAGTATAAAAAGTATTGTAAATATTTCTCTTGAAGAGGGGATTATTATTAGATATACATTACTGTTTAAATTAGTACAAGTGTTATGATATAGATGGCTTAAGTATAGTTAAATGTATTTATATTAGAAGCAATATTTTATCACACATTTTATTATGTAACTGTTTACAGATCATATGTTGTGTGGTTCAGTTGTTGTGAATTGGTGTTTGTTGTATTATTGCTTCATGTTACTACAACCTTTTTAAGTTTTTCTTGTTTTGATCAATTGTTATTACATCATAATAACTTGTAGTGTGTAGAAATTTCTAGGCCTCGGTTAGACTATAAATATGTGTACAAAATGGTCAAAACTTAACAATTCATACACAGTGAACTGACACCCAACTGTCTTTATACTGAATTTGATTTGACAAACATGAAAGTCGTAGCCCAACCACAGCCTTTAGATTTAAGAAAACTGTTAAAAATAGAGCTGGGCAATTATTGGGATTTGATAATTGATTAGTCATTTGGCTCATTAACATATTATTCACATAATTGTAATAATCAAACACAGCAATAATTGGAAACACTAATTTCAATTAGTTCATTGTTTTTGTTGTATATGTAATTCTGATTCACTGATTATTTTATGTGACAAAATCAATGTAACTGATGCTCATACATAATGGATTATATCAAATGAATCATCCAGCTCTAGTCCTAAAACACTGACTATACTGTCCCATGGCATTACTTATTGTATGTAGGGACTAAGCTAAAGAGATATAGCAGTCAAAATTTAATGACAACGACATTTGTGCAGATATTACTAAAAGAAGATCAGTTATTTAGTCATAAGATGTCCAGATATTTAGATGGGACTGGAGAACAGGATGTAATACCATGCAGTGTATATGCTACTAATTGCTCTTCAATTTTATTTGGAAGTAAAAGTTAGTGGTTGAATCAGTTTGTTTTTCTTACAGTGTGTATGAATGAATGTAAGGTCTCATCCATGCATACACTATGTATCCTACTATTTGTGTGTGTATACATGCATACATATATATTTTAGTACAGCAAGTGAGATGAAATAAAATGTATGATTTTTTGAAAATTCTCTTTAGGAAAGTAAAGAGAAAAATGACAGCAGGATCATTTTCAAGATTTTCAAAGAAGTCATACATCAGTTGTACAGATGATCAGAGTTCAGACCAATTACCAAAATATAAAGATTAAGTATCAAAGTGGGATAGTATGACTCCTAAAACTTGTTGAAGACCAGAGCTGCAAAGAGGAAACAGTAAACTTTATAACTTTTTAGGACTTTCTGAAGAAATTAATGAAACGTGAAACTGCATATATGGAGGTTTTTTGATTTAATATTTTACTAAAAATATCTTGGAAGCTGTTTGAAAAAAGAAAGTAAGATTTACTTGGAATTTTTTTATTTAATGCCACAGTATGTGTCTGTGAATTATTTGCAATGTACTTCTGACCTTTTGAACTGCATATAAGTAATTTTCTTAAACTTCCATATTTTGTGTTCCCCCAAAATGGAATGTCCTGAGAATAAATGTGATGGATCTGAGACAAAAAAGTTGATATCTTTTGATACATCTGTGCATTGCTCAAGGAAAGATGATTTAAAAAAAAACAAAGTTATACAGGACTGTAGAAAATTTAATCAGTATAATCATCAAAAAAGTGATTGCTATGAGAAGAGTATTGAGGAAGTCGTTGAAAGCAAAGATTCATTCAGTGTGCAGTATGTGGGGGTAAAAACTCAAAATACTAATTTCTCTAAAGTCGGCTCTGAAGGAGCATTGTCAGCTGTTGATATAGCTATTAAGAATCAAAGAGAATGGAAGGAAAGTTTGGAACATGATGATTGTGATAATTCTAATGTAGTAAAGCAGAAAGAGCAGGATTCCTATGTTAAATGTCTCACTGATACTTGTATGCTAGAAAAAAAAGGCTATTACTGTGAAGTGTCTGATGTGTTGTGTTCAGAAGGGTTTAACAATAAAATTAAAATTAATGAAGAAATGTCTGAAGATGCAGATTCCAAAAAAGATAAAGTTGAGGAAAAGTTAGAAGGAAATAATGAATCATCAAAAGTTACAGGGGTACTAAACTTATCTTCACCAGAAGGCCAGCGCCATTTGAGTAACCTTAGAAAAGAGATTGATATCCTAAATGAAGCAGGAAAACTGAGACCAGAATATTCTTCTTTTTGTTTTGGAACACCAGAAAAAGAAGTTAATCCAAAAGAACCAAAGATAAGTTTAAAAAGAAAAGAAAGAGAGGAGAAAAATGACACATATGAAAAAGTGCAAAAAAGGAAGAAAAGGAAACGACAAACTTTAGACAGTAAAGAGTGTGAAGAGCTTCTTCAAGGTATTGATGGAGAAATAGATAGAGTGCTAGAAGAAAGAGCTAAAAGGAATAGACTCACAGCTGCAAATGTTAAAAATATATTGAAGGTAAGTGTCTCACATTGCTTGTAATCTGTAGAAAGTACTAGTAGTTTATAGAAGTGATGTTGTAAAATATAGATTCTCAGGGCTTAACCTAGTTTCTGTAAGGTCTTTTTAATAGAAGTAGAAAATTTACAAAGATAAATACTATTTCACAGTATTAGTATACTGTATTAACTAGTTAAGTAACAACCTGTAATGCTGCAGAGATAACTGAACTCTCACTCAAATATAACTAAATGTTATAAATGTTTATATATGCTGTACAGTCTTGCATGCTTTTTAAATGAATATTTGTTTTAAAACAAACCTGCTATTTAGTAGAGTTGGGTGATTAACTTAATTAATTAAAAAACTTGATTATCTGTTACCGTCCTTTATTTTCAGATAAAATTATTGATTAATCGAAATTACAACTAAATTGGTTAATGTCAGAAAAGTAATTGACAAAAATAAATGTTGCTAAGTGTTACTGTTTTAAATTATTTTTTTTATGATTTCTCATTATTTTATCAATTATTTCAAGTCATTCAGCTCTGGGATAGAATGGTTCAGGTACTATGGTAGTTGCCTTTGATTACCATTGCCACTAGCATGGGGGGGGGGGGTTATGTTTGTTTGTTTCTGAATTATGGCAAAGATATTAAGGCCTTCTGCCACCATCACATTATAACACCTTAGAAAGCTTTAGTAACTTTGCCATAACTCAAAAACCTTGTTCAACTTCAGATACATACCAATTGAATTGACAGCTGGCACTACTTTCATTGATGCAACTACTAGTGACAGCATGTACACAGATCTTGAATGTGAGGGTGTAGCCTAAAGGCTACTGGTTACATAAGAAACAGCAGTGATGTCTGTTTTTGTGATTATGACTTTGTTTGTTCTAACCAGTAGTATAGCATTAATTTCATATATACATATATTACAAGTTACAACCATAAAGAGTGTTACTTAGGGTAAGATACTGCTTCCATGAAAAAAAAATACTGCAAGTTAATATTTATTATTCTTTATTTTTTCAGCCCTCCAGTGGCACGGCATTAATTCTGCTAACTTATAACTCTAAAAATTGGGTTTGATGATGGGCACAGCACAAATAGCTCATGGTGTAGCTTTGTGCTTAAGTACAAACAAATAAGCAAATGGAATTTTTTCAAAAACAAGAACTTTTGATTGCTGAATAACTTGCTCAGTTAACCATAAATTTATTAACCTATTTACACAAATGGGACTCCTGTTTAATTATGATTAACTCAAATTAGATAGGAAGCATTGAAAAGAGAAAACAAATGTCTGACTGTTATAATGTTCCTTTAAACACTGCCTATTTGGTAAAGCAAATTTTAAGTTGTTAGGTATATTGATTTGTTTCTCTGAGTTAAATGGTGTTAACTTAGGTTGTTTCCTTTTAGTTTGTTGTAACTTTGTAAAATTACATAAAAAAATTTGGACAACTGCTAGAATGACCATGAATTCTCAAGTGACAGTGACTATTACCTCCTCTTCAAGGTTCTAGCAATGTTGCTAACACTGTCTCTGCTTTGTGTATGGTTATTAGAGGTTTGTTGCCTGTGGAAGACATTACTGCTATAGTTCATCGTGTCATAGGTTCTCTGATGTCTTTCTTGTCTCATCTTCTCTTCTTTCTGAACCCGACCATGAGAATGACTTTCATGGGAGCTCAGAGAGGACTACAAGGAGGAGCTATAGACAGTTCAACACTAAAATATGGTAAATGACAATATTCTTTATTGAGGGGTATAATGTCATCATAATAAAGAAAGGAAAACAGAAATTTTTTTTTCAAGTTATGTAGGATCATAGAAGATGCTTTCCTTACAGCAAAAAGGAGACACTAACAATGCAAAAGTGACTAACCATACCAAATTATTATAAAAATCATATAATTATGTAATTATACTATTGTACATGCAACAAAATAATAATATACCTTAAATAACTATGTTTTATATCACATAATACATAAAGTACTGGCCACTGTAGACTCAAATTTCAACCTCATTGAACAACCTCTGAATATGGTCCAAAATGGATGAAGTTTAACATTTAATATTGGAACAAAATTACGATGTGAAAGCTTTAGGATTTTTAACCTGAAGTTTTACCTGCAAATAAGGAATTCTCTAATTGTTATGGCTTATAGCCATTCCCCCTTTTCTGTTCTTGGAAACATTTTGCTAACTTGGGGTGCTGACCACCTGTCTCCAGTAGCACTGTCTAGTGCTCAGTTTTCCTATTCCCACCTTTTTTTACCTATCTCCTTTGTTACCTGTCTCTTCATCTCCTCTCTGAAGTCCTACACTGTGATTCCAATAGTTTTTCATGGGATCTATAGTCAGTCCTTTTTAATATCTTGACCAGGCTTTCATTTTCTGCCTTGTCTCTCCTTTCTTGGTTCCTTTGATGTTGGAACTTTCTGGGAAATGATGATCTTTTCTCTAATGTTCATCTTCAACATTCTTACCTCTGTGACCACTGGGTGGCTTCTTTTCTTTGCCCTAATATCTTTGGGGTGTTCCTAAGGCCTTGGAACCTCAGGCTGAGGTTGCCAAACACCAGTCCTTCCAGAACATACATACCTCCGCTGACACTAACAGCTATTTCTCAGTCTTCATCTTTGCCATCTAACGTTGTGTTCGCTTGCTCCAGTCTTTATATACCCCACTTGACTACCCTTGGCAGTATCTAATTTGCAAAACTTTACACTGGCTTACCTGTTGCACTGTTTCTGGAGACCTGTTCCTCGGGACTCCCCAATGCTTATGTTCCCCCTTACTTCTACTAGTGGGGCTTGGAAGTCCTTACCACATCCAGTTCCCAGTTGCTGGGGTGGCGGACAGAGGATTTTCTTTCAGAGTGTTGAGTTATCTCCACTCTCGGAGAAGAGGGCAAAGTTGGGGACCCTCCTACCTGAGTCTCTGGGAGCCACCTCGTAAAACCATTCCAGATTTGATGCTTAGTT